GCTAAAGTGACAAAGGCATTTGTTTTAGCCCTAAACTTGATCAAGGACTTGATTGTTGGTGGATGCTGACTTCGCAGGGTTGTATGGATATGAGGATGATCAGGATCCTGTTTCGGTCAAGACTCGCACTGTTTTGTCTTGACTTTGTTTGGATGCCCTGTCATTTGGTCCAGCAAACTGCAAACTGACATTACTCTGAGCTCCACTGCTGCTGAATATGTTGCCTTCAGCATGTCCATGAGGGAGCTGCTTCCTATGCGAGCCCTGCTCAAGGAAATTGGTAACAAACTGCATATGCCCGTAATTACTGCAGTCTCGTGCGCTCTACAGGTTTCGAAGACAACCAAGGTTGCCTGTCTCTTGTGAATGTTCCCAAAAATGTCTGCCCGCAACAAAGTATTTGGCTTTGAAGTACCACTTTTTAGGTCAATATCGGGAGTCGAAGGGCATCGTGGCCAAGTACATTCCGACTCTAGAACAACGGGCCGACATCTTCACTAAGGGTCTGCAGCTCCACAGTTTGCAGTCATTCGGAAGCTCCTCATGGATGGTAATCTACCTCAGCACGTTGCTGGGGACTCTCTCCTATTGTTTCTTGCTACAGCTTCATTTCAGCTGTAAGGGAGTGCGACGGGATACAGCTTACAATTCAGCTTTACAGCTTTATAAATTGCGGGCCTATTCTAGAAAATAATCAATAACTGCTCACTTAATTTGGAAATACAAACTTTACATCTCTTAGATCGTTAGATTAATCAATCCACAATGGTATTGTCGCACGTGGGTCGTCCTCAAGCACATCTCGTCTGAATCCGTTATTAGATGTTCAGTTTTTTTGTTGTTGACTGAATAGTAAAGCAGGTTACCTTGAATTTCTCTCAGGTGTTGATCCAACAGTAGTAGCAGTAGTAGCAGGAAGAACATGTGAACCACGAAAGCACATCATAGCTGCTCAAGCAAGGGCAATGCTCCATCGGGCGGAAGCAAATCACACATGGGATGAACCTGGATACGAATAGGCTCACGATACCCCATTGCCATGCAGGATTGTTGCTTGTTTGGCAAGGGCCTACAGACATCAAGTGGCAAAGCAAAGTCCTGTCTCATCGCAACAACTTGTGCAGCAAGCACACTGGATTGCAGGAGCTCTGGTTGCTGGATTGTGCAAACAGTCAGCCACAACCTTGGATAATTTTTCGTCAGTATAAACATTCTGGCAAAAAGGGACTGGAAATGTGCCAGATAGATCATTCCCATTCACCAGAAGTTCAGCTAGTCCTGTCAATGCCTCAATCTCATTGGGAATAGTGCCATGGAAGTGGTTCTTGGATAGGTGCAGCTCTTGGAGACGTGTCAAGAGGCCCAGTGATGGGCTGATGGTCCCAGTAAAGTTGCAACCATCCAAGTGGAAAAACTGGAGTTTGTCAAGTCCAGTGTAGAGTTCTTCAGGAATTGTCCCTTGCATGTTGGTGTTAGAGAGAATGAGTCTATCAACCTGGTTTGACAGGCCAATCTCTGAGGGTAAGGAGCCAGAAATCTGTGTGTAATTCAAGTTCAGCACTTGCAAATTAGTAAGAAGTCCAACTTCGCTTGGCAATGTTCCAGTGAGCTTGAAATCACCAGAGAGGACCAAAAAGAAGGTAAGCTTTGGCTAACTATTTCTGCAAACAGCACGACCAGCAGTAATTTACATCATTTCCCCCAAAAAAGAGCCATTCATGTGAAGGTTGGCTGAAGATTTCTCGTGGAATAGAACCTGTCAGAGTGTTGCTTGTGAGGATGAGTCTTTTCAAAGGAAGTAGACCCAACTCTGATGGAATTTTCCCTGTCAATGTGTTCCTATGCAGGTTAAGATCGGCAAGTTTTCCATTTCCTTCAAGAAGGTTTGCAACCCATTCTACAGGAATAGTTCCAGAAAACTGATTCAAGTACAAATCAAGACATTCCAGGGAAAAACCTGCTTTATTGGGGAAGAGTCTTGGGGGCAGTACTCCAGTCAGCATGTTGGAGTGAAGCGCTAGAATCCACAACTGTGGCAATCTTGTGATCTCCCAGGAAAGAGGGCCATTGAGATGATTCCAATCTGACGAATCCAGATATTCACAGAGTCAGCGACAGGCCAAATCGAAGAGGCTGATAACATTTTGGAGAGACTTACATTGACGCAGCTCAACAACTGTCCTATCCACTGACTGCACAGTTTCACAGCTTACACCACCCCAGAGGCACTCATGACTGGCAGAGAGCCACTGATCCCCCAAAATGTTTGCTGTCATCTCGCCAGTCAAATGATGAGGTTCATAGCAGAGACCAGAAATTGCACTCCCTGCAGGTGGATTGCACTGTTTCCATGGCTTGTGCCTTGTGGTTTGGAAGTAGAAGAGAACTAAAAGAAACCTTTGCACCAAATTAGGAGCATTGTACTCCAATTGCATTGGGTCATGATTGACAATCCAATCAAAGGCTTTCTGTCTTGTTTTCAGCATGAATTCAGCAAGGTCATCATCATTTCCTTCTCCAGATTCTTCCACCTGTTGAAAGTAGTCCTTACCCAAAACGATTGTCAAGGCAATTTCAATCTTGGGTGCTTCAACCGCATCTCTGAAGGTGGTGGGCACCATAGTACTGCTACCATCCACATAGACCTTTTGGCTGCAGTGCCCTGTTCCACAAACAGCCCACACAATGATAGCAGCCACAACCAAAAAGATGCATATACCTCCCATGAGATAGAAAGGCCAGTTGCTTTGCTGCCGGCCCTTCCCTATGCCATCCTCAGCTGTCGCAATTGGTAGGTCATCCTCAGTAGCAGCAACTGGTCTTGCCTCTGCCAGTGCCTCTTGTGGAGGCATTTGTGTGTTTCTTTCGTTTCTTTCGTCATCAACGGCTGAATTCATGTTTGGCGGTTGGTGCAGATTATCCGCGGCAAGAGTGGCATTTAGTCGAGAAGTTGGATTATCGTGATTTGGTTGTTGGGTGGACTGGAATGCTTGGACAGCATGGGCTCCTGGTGTACTTTCTTGCACAGTTGCACCAGTGTACCTAGAGAGGGATGGCATATTCATGGGCATTGACACTTCTTGAATCCACATTTGCGATGGGGAGGTGGTAGCATCCTCCCTAATAAGAGCCTCAAATTGGTCACTGGCTGGATTTTCAATGTCCAGCATTGCCGGATCCTTGTTTTTGCCCAATTTTGGGATGTGATCACCTTGTACAACGGTTTGCTTGGTTACTTCATCCTCATTTTGCTCCTTTTCGATGGTTGGATCAATGCCATTTTCTCCATCTGATTCAAAACACATTTGTGGAACAGAGTTTATCTGGGTTTTTTGGTTTATTTTTGATTCCAAGCTTGCCATGGATGGAACAGCGGATGATGCCTCCATCATGGCAGCTTTTTCTTGTTCCTTGCAAATTTGATTTCCATCAATTTTTTGGTGGCTTGCAGCGATACTATTGCTGTCAGTTGGGTCTTGCGACGATTCCTCAGGAAGAGGTGGTAAAATCGAAGGTATCACTGTTGGCTTGGTGTGCTGTGTGACTGGCTGAAAGGTGGGGTTCTCTACATCATCCGAGTTGTGTAGATTCTGAGCTGATGGATACATGTGTGGGACAAAGATTTCCGCATCTTGGAAATGAGTAGTCACTGAAGAAGCACAGCTCATATTTTTGGGACTTGCGACATCGCTCATACTGGGTGGGTCCACTACCGATTCTTCATCTTGTGTTGGTGGTTTTCCTTGGTTAGCAGTCAACGTCCAATCATCCTCAGCTCCACTATTAGCTCTGGTTGATTCCATGGTACATTATCTTTTCAACGGGCAGTGGCGGCAACAACTACTATAGACAGCACAAGGCGAACGGCAGATGATCGGGAGATCTCGACCTATCTCACGGGAGAATTACCACACTCGTGGAATGGCATACGCCATCTGTGCGGTTTCTGTGCGGTTAGAGTGAAGTACAGTACAACATTATTTTGAAGTGAATAAACTTCATTCCTCACGAGGTGTCTGCTCCTTTGAAAACAGTTTACCACTTACTAGTAGTGCGCTTTTTACATACTGTTTTATTCCTGCGTTTCTTGTATTCCTGCGTTTCTTGCGTACACCTGTAAAAGTGTGGGCCTACCATGCCTACCATGCACTTGGCCCACAGCATCAATCCGACAATGGATCAACACATGGGAACCAGTCCTTGAAGAGAGTTACGCCACACAGCTTGAGACTGGGTAATTGATGCAGGACCTCCACTTCCCATCCTTCCAATTCCCTCCTGTGTCCGCTTCCACCCCTCCTTTTCTCCCTCCATCCAACCCACCAAGTAACTCTCCCTGAATCCATTCGGCCAAACCCACAAATCAGTTAGGAATATATGTCCGGCAAATCCACACGAGATATGCCATTTATACTTACATGTAACTTTAAATGCACCATCTCCCCTAGGGAGTGTGGTGCCGGTGAGGGAACCAGTGGTGGTCTCCTGTGAAACCAATCCCCGCTTCGGCCGGGAGCGGTTACCCAAAGCTTCGGCTGCAGCACAGTGATGATCCGTCCATTGGGGCCATATCCGTTATAAAGATTTTTTTGTTTTTTTGTGTGGGCCTACCATGCACTTCAAGACCTTTTTGTAGACAACTAATCCCAAGTTGTTATTGCTGCTTTTAAGTTAAAATTGTACCACGCTTTATTGCCGTTGCCTATTGGTCCTTGACCAGCACACGTTACCTCAAGCAGTCAGAGGCTCCAGCGGGATGGCTGGGGCTGCCTGTGGAGTGGAGTCGGGTCAGATTAGAGGAACTACGATTTGGAGCAAGCCCATGCAGAACCCTCCGGTTCCAAGATAGTAGATACTCGTATTCTCAAAGGTACATATACATCCAACAAAGTACTTGGCTTAGTAGTATGCGTATTTACTCTATACTAAAAGCTGACCTCATTCATGAACTACTCCACATGTACAACAAGGAATCCTTGGCTTCACAAGCATGCATGCATTTTCGTTTAGTTCAGCACTCCACAGATTTCACACCCGGCGGTTGTGCCTTGGGCGCCTCTGCACGAATCGTCATTGGTTGCTTCTGCTTCTGCTCGAGGACCAGAACACCAGTGGATTGGTGTCGTCGGCGTTGCTTGGCACTGCTTTTGCGGACATTGGACGAAGCCGTTGTATTCGTGGAGGCAGAGAACGTCCCAACAGATCGGTACGCCCTGTTGGGGGCAGATCCAGCCGTGGCGTAGTTCTTGTCCCAGGGCTCGTTGGGTTTGGTCGGCAAGGACTGTCTCTTATTGCGTCGACTTTCGCCTTTGCTCTTTTTGGCAGTACTCGTACCAGTCGAGAAGATGGATCCAAAGAATCGATGCAAGACACTTTTGCGCTTGCCCTTCTTCTTGGAACTACTAGGACTGGTACCGGTATGCAAGACACTTTTGCGCTTGCCCTTCTTCTTGGAACTACTAGGACTGGTACCGGTACCGGTACCGGTACCGGTAGGACTAAGAGATATCGTGGATACGGGCCTAATGATGGCGACGGATCCTCCTTCCGCACTGGCTGCCATGGACTCTTCTTCCGTGACGGTAGGATCGAGTTCCTGGGGCTGCTGCTTGACTCGCTGGGACGGTGGTCGCTGCTGCTGAGACAGTTGCTTTTGCTGCTGAAGCTGCATTTGCTTGAAGACGGTGCGACTGGATCCCATCAAGTCCATTTCTTCGCTGGCATCTTCTGGAAGGCTCCTTTTGGTGGGGGTGGGGGCAATGATCTTTGGCACCGACTTGTCGTTGTTGTCCTTCACAAAACGATGTGACGTTTTCTTGGGTGGGGAAACTTTTGGAGTACTGCTACTCTTGGGCACAATGAGCTTGGGAATCGATGTATCCTTGACGAGCATGCCTCTTGTGCGCTTCCAGACTTCTTCCAATTCCTTTTGCGTCACTGGCTGACCAGGAGCAATGGATCGATCCCAGTAGACGCTTTCGTCGACACTCTTCAGTTCCTCCCAATCTTCTTCTTGTGGTGGTGGCGGTTGGGCATTGTCGTTGTCACTTACTAACTGCCTCCCACTAGAATTATTGTTGTACATGGAAGGGTCAACCGAGAAGGCGTATTGACTCATGTCATCACCATCCTTGGTATGAAACATGGCGGATGTTCCGCTGGCGGTGGTTCGAAAGCTCTTGCTCGATGCTTGCTTGTTGCCCAACGAGTGGTTGCTCTTTCGCGAAGAAGGCAACTTGCGAATACGACGAGGCTTGTTCGATCCCTGTCGGGTGGTAGCGTTATGGTTTGCGTGCTTGACCATCATTGTCATCTTGAATGAATAAACGTTGCCTTGTGCGTGTACTGACCAGGTTGGTTGGATAGTTGAGTAATTGGCCGTTGCTTTTAGATCTTCTCGAAAGAAAGAAAATGGATTTGTGAGCCTTGTGAGCTTGTGAGGCAAACCTGTGGACCTCTCAGGCTTTTCATGATAACTAACTTGAATACGAGTACATGTAGCCGAGCGCTCTGATGCTTCCTGCTAGATACTCCGTAGGTAGCGGTAGTCCTGCAAGTCCTTTTGTTGTGTACGTACCGGCACCCCATGGTGTAGCGTCTTGGGCATCTCCATGTTTGGGTGTCTGTGCTCATCTCCAACACACAGGACCAGCAGCCTTGCACGTCCACAAGGTCTCCAAGGAAGTTCACTGTATCTTTGTGAAAAAGCCCTTCGTCAATCGCTGAAGCATTGGTACAACAAAATCAGACGCTCAAGGTTGTTCAGTTAATGCTTCCGAGACCTGCAACTGTCACGCCTTCCTTCTTCTGATTCCCACATGCCCTTTTGACTGCATGGTCGGTTGAAACGTTGAAACAAGAGTGACAAGGCGTCACCAAGCTCGGCTTTCACACCGATTGATACCGGTACTGGTACCGGACATGGAAGCCACCGGTGGACACATCACCTATCTATTCCTTCCCCTTTACAAACCTCTCAACAACAGGCACAGAAACAATGAACAGTGTGCCATACCGGTAGAGGTGCTGAGCATCCAGGCAACTGGCTCCACCAGCATCGTCAAAACCTTCGGGACGCGACATTAGCTAGGCCGCCTTTGCAATACGGAGAAAATTGAAGTAATACTGAAATGAATAAGTAAGTCATCATCGCCTGCAATGAAATCAAGAGCGTTTCCATAGCTAATTTAGCTCCAGCACTGATGAGTCTCATTAGGAGACAGATGAAAGAGTCATGTCAAATCCAAAAGATTAGACTACAGACATAGCCTGGCCTTTTTTCAATCTTCCCATTTGCCAGCTCTGTTTTCGAAAGATATTGTCACTCATTGCTGGCCCGCTAGCTAGCTACCCGTGGCTAGCTAGTACAGGTGTGTACATGTAGATTGAAGGATTCCTGGCTGGGCCGTTGTCAGTTTTTGTTTGGGACTGTAGTAAATGTGACTGGTTGCTTTGCTGGCTTCAATATTTTGCAACCGTGACTGAACAAGATGTTTTCATTTGCTTTTCACAGCCCCTGGATAACCACCGGCAGCTCGCCTTTATTAGAAGCCAATCAATCCTTGAGGAAGAGGATATGGTGATTTTGGAATTCCACAGGGGAGTTTGAGGTCTTGTCGTCTGCTTCCCACCTACAGTACTGGTATTCCGTTGGGATGCATGAGTGCTGGCTGGGCGGCTAAAGTCACCCGCTTTCTTTACAGTCTGCCTCGCTCTACTTGCATTGCAATCCAGCAGCGCTAGCTGTTGGTAGGCAGGCGTACTTTCCGATTCATGATCGTTCAGGATTCGACCGGCACGCTGGTTTGAGAACTGATGAAGAGCAAAGTAAGCGGAAGGATTGAGCTGGGGTTTTGCCAGCTGTGCTTACCTACTTGCAGGGAGCTTTCAGATGACACCATTCTTGCAGCCAGTGCTGCAGATCATCCAACCAACTATGGAGGAGACAGTGTTTCATGCTTTTCTCCTTCTTGGTATTCTAAGTGTGCTCAGCAGACACGGCTACCGGGGCAGTTAGCTACTTTCATCTGTAGTGGTCAGATTAGAATCCACCATTGTGGCGACTCGAGGACTCCTCATACTTGCGGTTGCCTTTGGCAACGAAAAGAACTCAAGAACTCGTAGCATTTCCTTCTGGGTTGATCCAGAGTCCTCGAGTCGAAAGCAAGAAAGGCCTGAGTCGAGTCAGGACCCGCAGTCTTACGCCAATCATGTCGTCAGCTTCCTTTCGACGTGCGTTTTGATGGCCAGACCTAGCTAGCTTGCTGGTTAGTTAGTTGTTGGGTGTGGTTTAGAGAATGGGAGAATGTCAGCGTTGCTTCAAAGGACCCTACGACTTACAAGCGTACTGTGCTATCGGCACAGGAATCATGGTTTCGAGAGTTCAGCTAGCTGATTTGGTGGCAACACATTGGGGACAAAGGTTAAATAAATCTTGGTAGTGATTATCAATGGTCAAAATTCTGTTCAAAAAGACCTTGACAAGGTCGAAAATTCGGTTGAAAAGACCTTTGAGATTGTGGAAAAGCTTTGGAATTAGGTATCAATTGAAGATCTTGGAAACTGCTTGGCTCCCTTGAACTCCTCCAGTCGTTTACGATCAAGAGCAATAGAGATCTTAACTGATCTTTTTATCTGGTAGTCAGAAGCAAGTCATTAGGACCAACCGCTGGAGCTCTGCTGGACCTTTGCCCTAAATCTATCGTGTAAAATCGGGCAGTTCATAATTCGTACGATGGTCCTTATCCCTTCTTGTTCCGGTGTTCGTACTGTGGACAGTTTCCGAAGTACTCCCGCTGAAATGCCCATAGCTATGCCCATAGCTATGCCCATCATCATCTCTTTCCGAGTCTTTCGGAGGAGGAGCTTGTAAGAGGCCATTGCTATCCCGAGATTGGTGGTCAAGAAGTCTGGAGAAGAGAAGTAGTTCTTAAGCCAATTTTGAATCGGTCATAATTATCATTAGTAAGGAATCCGCAGGACTGTTCGAAACCACGTGCAGGACATTGGAAACCCTGGTATTTTAATACCGTAAATCGATCGATAGATCAGCAGATTGCCACCAAGATCCCGGTAATTCTTTTTCGGCTGGAAGGGCGGAAGCAGAAGAAGAAGACTATTAATAGTGCACACGAAAAACAGAGCTCCAAAAAGAAGTGGGAATCTCTCATTCAGGCATCAGACACAAGACACACAAATCCAAGCTAGCCAGCAAGGACGAGTAACACTTTTGACCTGATACCGGTACCCCTCAGTGTTTGAAAATCATGGGCTATCAACGCGGCAAGAGCATCCCTCGATCGAACAGTGGAGCAGCCATTGTGGCTGACAATGCTGCCGGTGGTGCTTCCAGGCGTGGTTCTACTAGTACCAATACCAGTACCGGCATTAGCACTCACAGCCATCGTGGCCGCAGCAAGAGTTCCCGACGACTCATCGATAATGGTACTAGCAGCAGTAGTAGTCATCACCGCCGTCGTCGCAGTGGAGGTGGTGGTAGTAACAGTGCGTCACGAAGCAGTCGACGACGCTCTTCAATGCATGCGGGGAGTAGCAATCTTCACCACGAGACGGCATCCTCTCGCAGTAAGAGTACTCGACGAAGAGCAACACTTTCCACCGCTAGCACATGTACTGCTGGTAGTAGCAGTAGTAGAAGAGAAGAACGAGAAGAAGAGACCCGAAGAGCACCTCCCTCTCGCAGCAAAAGTCTCCAACGAAAGAGTTCCATGGTGGACTTGTCCAGAAGCACTGTACACAGCAATGCGACTACCCAAAGTCGCAGCAGTAAGAGCCGCCGTAGTTCCATTCATACTTCTTCTGCCAAGCAAGACAAGCAAGAACAAGACAAAGCAGCTCCGCCGCTTCGTAGAACGCACAGTGACGAGAGCTTCTGCAGTAATCGCGGAAGAAGCGTCACCCGCACCAACAGTGCACGACGTTCCCTTCTGGACAGCACCACCGCCCCTACTAGTATCAATCGCCGTGCCAACCTGAAACGACGCCAGTCATCCAACAGGTTGCTGAGCTGCAAGCTCTCGGAGCATACTTCAGCGGAAACCCAAGACACCACGGCTGCTCCGCCGTTGCGAAGAACCAAGAGTGATGAAAGTTTTGCTGGTCGGGGAAGAAGCATCACCCGCACCACCAGTGCACGACGTTCCCTTCTGGACAGCAACCCCAGTCCTACTGCTGCCAATCGCCGTGCCAACCTGAAACAACGGGAATCATCCAGCAAGTTGCTCAGCTATAAGCTGTCCGAGCATGTTACAACTGACACCCAAGAATCCACGGCCGCTCCACCTCTGCGAAGAACCAAGAGTGATGAAAGTTTTGCTGGTCGGGGAAGAAGCATCACGCGGAAAAAGAGTGGTCGCAGACAGAGTTTGCTTCTAGGGAGTGGCAGCACCACCAGTCCCAACCCTCCTCGAGCGAACCTGAAACAACGGGAATCATCCAGCAAGCTCTTGTTGTTGTCCGAAAGCAACAAGCTCTCTTCCGAGCATACAAGTAGTTTTTCTACCACCACGAAACTTAACAAGTTGTCCAACTTTGATCCCAACGCCAACGTGTTGATTCAGCCCAAGACCACGTCTCTCAAGTCGGCAGTCGCCATGAGATTTGCCACAACATCGCAAGATGACTCTTTTATGCGGTCGCAAGACGATTCTTTTCTGGGGACGCAAGACGACTCTTTTCTGCGGACATCGGCTTCCCTCTTTGATGATGATGACGATGATGATTGTTTCGATGGCATCGTGGATGATGATGATGATACGGAACAGCAAGAAGAAGAAGAACTGGAACAGGATCAGACCACACAGAGCAGCAGCAGCCGACGAGCACAAGCATCCGAATGTTTGCTGTTGAATACACTGCCCACCACACTCCGACGATCGAAGACCGACTCCTCTGCCATGAGCAACATGAGAACACGCTCTAGCACTACTACTACGAGATCGTTATCCGGTGCCACCAAACGACCCTCGCAAACCACTTTGGCACTGCTGGCCATTGCGTCCAACATTGCCAGCAGCAGCAGCAGCAATTACGATGACATGATTTCGAACAAGGACAAGATGAAAAAACTACGAGGGCGCAGCAAGTCCATGACGGATCAGAGCATGTACTCGACCAGTACCAATACGAGTTCCTCTACTTCGAGTAGCACGAAATCTTCGGTCGAAGAATCGGTCAAGCGCATGAAGGGATTGCAACACAAGTTTCGACGCCACAAGCAAGAACAGGATGCCGGTAAAGAAACGGCGCGGTTGACACAGGATATTCCCTTGTTGAGACGGTTCGCACCCACCGAAGCCATTATTTCTTCTTCGGCCAAGCAGCAGCAAAAGACGACCACCACGGCCGCCAAGAGCGCTTAGCTGGCCAGGGAAGCAATGCACGATCACTGCTACCTAGCAGCAAGCTAATGTATGATATATAACGATACATATTCATTGAACACTCCAGGCAGGTGACATCACTCGTAGCTCCTGCGGTGGCAGCGTTCGCAGGCCAGACGAGATAGCGCTGCTTGTATCTTGGTTTCCAAGCCTGGCATGCCCCTAGCATTGGGATTGGCTAGGATTGATTGGATGGCACGGATGGTTCCTTTGGGACCCGACGTGATAGGCAATTATGTGTGCTCGGCTGCCACGGACAAAGGCAGCCATCCTTGGCCACAGCCACAAAGGAGACCGACTCTGCTACCTACTGGTGGTTTTCCAGGCGTCTTAAATAAAGCAAAATTGCGTTCTTTAAAATAAACAACTCAATTACACAAAATGCTCTTTTGGAGGTTCCCTTAAGAATTGCCGCATCTCTTGCATCATTGCCGTTTGGGCATCCAAAGCTTTCTGCATTTCATTCATTCTCGTTCCAAGTGCAGCAATATCATAATTATCACCCCTAACAGGATTGTTGCTGACGTTCTCGTTGTCCTCCAATGCTGACTCGTCCTTTTTGACGCTCCGGACGACATAAGTATTGACTGGTGGTGGCATTCCAATGATTGGTCCAAAGTTCCTGTGGATCACTTTCTCCACTATCTGCCCTTCCTTCATAAACCAGTCATTTTTCTCACCATAGGCAGTAAAGCAACTAACCACAACAGCCACAGCCATGACTCCCCAATGCAGAATGAATGTCCCAGCCATCTGCTGCAGAGTCAATGTATCAGAGTCTATAGGATCACCCTCTGGTGCTCCTCCACCAGATGTTCCTCCACTACTCTTGAGAACCCGATGCTTAGAAGAAGCCTGGGGCCCCCTGAGTATCTTTGACTGGTGTGGGATATTGTGGGATTGAAGTCGGCGGTCTCGTGTATCTTCATCTTCTTCATCATAGCTGCAGATGCCATCATCTGATAATTCTTGGTATTTTTGCCTAAGCTCTGCAAGGATCCCTTCTTCCACTATTTCTACCAGAAATAAATTCACAACATGGCGGACCAAACTGCTGCACTTGTCACCTGCATCTGCTATAACAGCAAAGCCAGACTTGATGGACCGTATTTCACCACCAACCCACTCCAAGTCACAGTGAGGGTTGTACTCCTCGATAACCTGAGCTTCGTGCCATACATCAGAATATGTCGCAGCCAGCTCACATTCTCCGTTTCTCAGTGACTTGAACATTTCAAAGTCATCAACTCTGGTTACCCGGTGTGCTTTTGGATAGGTATCACGAATGTAAAAGTCCAAATTGGTATTTTCAACTGTACAGACACGATAACCATATACCACTGCTGCCTCCATTGAGTCCACCAAGATTGGTTCTATTCGGGAGTCCACAAACAGAGAGGCTAGATTTGCTGTGTATGTCGCCATGATGACCAGTGCCCAAAGTGTCATGCTGACACCAAATATTCTTCCAGCAAGACTGGTGGGAGCATATTCAAAGTTCTGGGAGAAGTTGAGAACACTGAGGTAGATGTTGTCGGAGAACCATTGGTAGAGGGACCTGTCTTCTCTCTCTCCGTTGAGATATTCAATGAGCTGGTAGACTAGCGCAGACAGGAAAATTGTCAGAGCAATCATTCCCCACACAGCTGGTTCAAAAGGCTTAGTCCAATTGAAAGGATCCACAGCGTTGACTTCCCGAAGGTTCCTCCTCCGGTCAATCAAAATAAAGCTGGCATCGGACCATGGCTCGGTGTATGTAACACCGCGCTCCATTCTTTCTACTGAATGATCCCAGCCATCAATTGTTATATCGTAGTTGTCAATCTGCCAGAGCAGAAGCTCAGTCCATGTCACGTTGTAATTCCCAGCAACTTCAGTGACGCCAAAGGACTTGCGCCAAGTGAAATTGGCCCGTTCAGCGACTAGATCGAGCAGCTCTATTGGAATGCCTGGATTGTTGCTGTCAATATACTCATCATAACCTTCAAAAGACACAAAGACTGGCCTCAAAGCTATGCCTGAAAGGGCATCTTTCAGCTCAATCTCACCAGAACGGAATCTATCATATCTGCCACAGACATCTTGTCTATGACTGCTATAGTTGGATGAAGAGGGGTTGGTCCGATACTTGGCCTGGTCTCCAGCAAGGGCACATGCGATAAAGAGACTAAGGAACAGTATGATAACATTCAGCACCTGCACTGGCATTGAGGATCTGGAAGTGCTGTTGATGGGCATGGTTGGAGCGACTATGAAGAGGAGGTGCGGGGATGGCTTTTCACTGCTGGACATGAACATCGGCAAACCAGCACGATAATGGATGACCGAACAATGGGAAATGCGAAGCCATTTTTTGGATCGATTCGATTCGATTTGATTCGATGCCTTGAGTGAAGCAATCGAATCTTCAATCATTTGCAAAACCGTTAGTCTACTAGTACTGGCTACTACGGTAGCTGAAAGACTTAGTGTGAGCGGCTGGCGACCAGGAGCAGTAACATCAAACCTTCTCGAAGGCAAACTTGAAGTCTATTGTGTTGCTTCCGACATCGAAGAATCCCTAAAACTGATTTGATGCTTCATTTCTCAGTATCTGCATTCAGAGTATTTTGCTTCAAAACGAGCAGGCATCCGACAAGTTGCTGCACACATCCTGGTTTATGACTGCTGCAAGCTGCGTTTCAAAATTCTCAGGAAATCTTGGCCTCGTCCTACGTTACCTGCTCCTAGCTACTTCTAACGCAGTATCTTTCTAGCTAGCAGCTAAGACAAAAACCAGCCATCTACACTGTGTAGTAACCCCAAGAAACTTCCTTACCAACAGGTCAACAATGCAGTTAGGCTATCGATAGGATTGGCGGGAGGCCAGCTTGATTCGGACGAGGTTGGATCGCTCAACTGAAGGCGCACGTGGCCATCCATCCATCCATCCATCCATGGTAATCTTGCCGGGCTTTGGTGGTTCCCAAGCTCCAAGGGAAGAAAGCAACTACCTAGAGAGGTCGCAGCTCCTTTTAGTACGAGAACAGGATATAGTGTTGTGACTGATGGATCTTGTTACTTCATCGAGCGGAATCAACAAGAAGAAAGAAGATACACAGAAAAGTACGAGAGCGTTGAATAGGCCAAACAAGCAAGCAGCTCCATGGACGGCATCTTCTTGCCACTTGTTGGGGGGGGATCCTTGCCAGTTGTGGAAGATGCTGAGAAGCTGTTGGATTCACAGCCCTGTCTTTTGCGAGAATCTTGCTGTCTGCAAACATAATAAATAATCCCAGAAGAATCACATTACATTATTTACCAAGATGCTTCAAGAAGATGGAGGAGGATGGGCAATATCTCAAGAGGCAGCCCCTGAAGGTAACCAGCAGAAAGGGGATCCGAAAAAAAAAGGGATTGACATTGGGATTGCCTGGTTCGACGCCTTCTTGGTTTCTCGGTCTAGCTACCTATTGGAACATTGGAACCTTCCAACATCAACTAAGAAAAGAAAGGGGTTGCATCCTTTCCAAACAATAGTATTGCAACCGAGAATGACAGGCTGATGAGATAGATAGATGATGATGACATTAAATTTTATTTTGGTACAGTGCATACAGCATGCAGTGCGACAGCGAAGGATTAGGCCAATGTTGGTCGACGCATTGGACGCGTGGCAGTGAGCCACTGTCCCAGCTTGCCTTTCAAAGATGGGCCTAGAGAAGTAACTATGGAATTATTAACGATACGCAAGCAGAAAAGGTTCAAGAGCTGTTCAAGCGTAATAGTGCCACGACTATAAGAATTGGTACTCATTGGCATCAAATTTTTTAGACTCTTCCCATTCTACAAAGTCATAACTACCAAGGCGCCATGACGTTATTGGTTATGGTCAGAGTTCTGACTATAGACTTCTTTGTAGCTGATGGTTCTCTTACGAATAATCTAGTCTCTTACAAAAGTCTCTTTTTCTATTTGAGATGACCCAGTCAAGCCATCTTCACGATCAGTGAAAAGAAGGTGTACGTACCAGTTCGATGAATGTAAGCTACTGGATCTTTTTTGATTTGCGTAGACCTGGTAGGTAAAATTTGTAGAATAGACAAAGAATCGTAAGGAAGGTCGGTGGTGGTGAGAGAAGTGCGTCAAATTTCCAAAAGATCTGTTGTCAGGGGTATAATCTTACGGTGATAGACGTACTAGTGGTACCATCCCTCATCAATGGTGACTTGCGAAGGTGTCCCGAACCAAATTTCTCAATTTCTTGCGGCCACAACTTTTTTGGCTTTCGTCGACCCCACCCCAACCACCCCATTATTTTTTCTCTCTTTCCTTGGAGGCATCGGAAGAAGAAGAGTTGAATTGAAGAGAGTTACATTGAACTGAACTGAACTATCAATCCAGCAACCAAGCTAATCTAATCGAACAAGATGAGTCATACAAAAAATGGTAGCTCCCGCAGAAGTGGACGCAGTCGGTCACCGAATCAAGTGACCCGACAAAGGGCGAGCAGTCGCCATGACGATGACCGGGAAGACAGCCGAGGCCGAAACAAGCATGGTACTACTACATCGGCTAGTAGTAGTGCTAGTGGCCATCGTCGCAGCAGTCGTCCCGAAGCTACCCGCAGTCAGAGCCGTGGTCCAAGATCGTCCCATCACGATCGTTCTCGATCTGGCAGCAATCACCAGCGAAAGCAGCATCATCATCACCACCATGATAATAACAATGACTACTACAGTGAGAGTGAGGGGAGTGAACATTCCTTTGTAGAAGAAGAACAAGTACAACCAGCAGAAGAAGCCCCCCGAAACAAGGGTCGTCCCTCGTTGGCCCGTCCCGGCATGTTGGCCCGTGCCACCAGTATTCGACGCAACATGAGCGGAACTGGTTCGACCGGCATGACTGCTGCCAACAGTGCCAATAAACGTAGCATCCGTCGCAGCCGCAGCATGGTCGGATCCGTATCCACCACCACCACCGAACCACCGTTAGCAGCCGAAGAAGGATCCAACGATCTCGCCATGAGACGCGCTCGACGTCGCATGAGTCAAATGGGAGGAGCCACAGCCGATGATACCGTCGCTGCTGCCAATCCCACCGCAGGCGGACGACCCACGTTATCGAAAGAATTGCAACGTCGACGTTCCCAACGTCGATTGCAAGTGGAAGACTTGCAAAAGAAAGAACAACTGCAAGCGGCCGTCTTTGACAAGGCATTGGAACGACGAAAGTCCATGCGCTGTCTCAACCTGAATCAAGACAATAATGAGGATATTCCGAGAGCGTCTACCCGTTCGTCCAAAGCATCCGGCCGACGACCCAGTTTGGCATCGTCATCTCATCATCGTCGACAGCAGCAGCCACAGTATTATGACGACGAGGATGAGGATTCCCAAGACGAGTTTGGGGCATCCGACTCTGACAACGAGGAAGAACAAGAAGAAGAACCCAAAAAGTCGTTTCCCAAATTGGCGCCACCACCTCGTACCGGCTCGGGCATCAGGACTCGGAGACCTTCCATGGCTGCTGCTAGTGCTGGTGTCGACGATGGATTTGCCGACTTTGATGCTCTGCAAAAGCAAGACCAAGAATCGCAAGAACCAGAGCGTCGTCCGAACAACCAGAGGCACCGTTCCCGCTCTCCGTCCCGGCGTCTACGGCTACCAGAAGAACACAAGCATCAGCATCAACCCGAGAATTGTTACGACATGGACGATGAAACCATTGAAGAGACCATCATCTGGTCCGATAACGATAACGACGACGACGACAAGAGCAGTGACAGCCAAGACTATTACGACGATGAATACGACGATGACGACGACGAGAGTCAAGACGAACCGGAAGAACGAAAGACGAGACGAACCAGTCAACCACGATCGGCTGTTCTGCAAAAGGCCAAGTTGGGAAAATCCCTCAAGGCAAAAGCCGATTCGCAAAAGTACACCCTCCCTACAGACGGAACCATGATGAAGGACTCGTCCTACGATAATGTCATTGACATGCGCAGCAGCAGCAAACGGAGAGATCGTTCGCAGGAAAGATCGTCCTCCAAGCATCAGCAGTCCGGTTCGAGTAGTCGGCGCGGCACTACTAGTACTCGCAATAAAATATCCCTCGGAATTCTCAAGCTGGGAAAAGGATTGGATGACGAATCCGCACAAACCCATACCACGGGCAGTACGGCAAACTCCACACTCAGCGGCAACAGTCGAGGGAGCAGGGAATCGCAAAAGAACAAAATGTTGGGTCTCAGCCAGCAATTCCGACAATCCAAGTCGGCGTGTCCCAGCAATAACAACAAGAACACTACTACCAATAGTAGTCAAGCCGTGGTTGGCACTGATACTACTACTACTACCCAACAACAACAAAGAAAAATGCAGCACTTGATGGCGGACACTCCATTCTTTTAAAAATAAAACAATTGTTTCATGGGAATAGACTACTGATACATGTAACTGTACCGTTTTACAGCCATTTGGGTCTACCCCACTTGGGCATGGTTGCTGGCGAATATAGCGGGAGTTCCTATCCGCGGTTCTCCTGCCATTGCCTCTGCCTCCAACAAGTACGGCAGCTACACCAAGCACGGAGGGCACGACAAGTATTGGTTGTAGCCACGTAGCACCGTAACTGCTGTTGCTTCTCGAGAGCCTTGTAGTGTATGGGAGACTTTACTATGGGTTAGAGGGGTGGGTGGCAGAGGAGGGGAGCAGGATGCAAGAAGCCAATGCAAGCTGAACAGCCGATCAAGGGAACAGAGCAGCATCAAAACCAAAGAAGGAGAGGGTGGAAAAGTAGGAGGGCAGGGAGGACCGGAGGAGTAAGACTAGCCGAAGAGATCAAGGGCACCTCGATCATCCCAACGCTTGGAGACCTTGAGAGCTTTTAGTGTCGTGTTGCTGCCGCCAATCCTACATCTACCTCATGCCCCAGGCTTTCGTGGCACGACGAGCATGAGCACCACATCGCGAGTGAGCTTTTGGTGGCGTCCTCCCTTACAGTATGCCACTGGGCAATATTAGCTATGACACCCGTCGTCACTATGCATAGCTAGCTAGGCATGTCGTCACAAGACTACCTCTTCGCCCCGCGGCCAACCGGGGGAGGGAGGTGGAAACCTTGTTCGTGCTCCGAATTGAATTCTATGAATACCGAGAGTTGCTCTTTTGTGGACTTGTTTTGAGTTGATCCAAAGGATCACGGGAGTTACCTTGGGTGCTGATGAAAGATCTCTCGCTATCAAATTTTGGTCAACCATACGCTGGACGATCCATGATGCCTGAGCAGGCAAAATGAAATTTTAAAAATATGGAGTCCTCCATTTTCTATGCAACACCGTCGTCGTACTCAAGCAACAGAGCCCGAAGTCCTACCGTACCGATGCCCAGCAGACCAGAAATGCGGTACCATGAACATCATGCTTATTAAATATATAAATACAAACCTGCAAGCCAGCTCAAGCTAGTGTCCACCCCAGCCACCGTAACCACCGCCCCACCATCTGTTCGTGCATCTGCAGGCACTGCAAGTGCATGACACGGTGACATTTTTCGGTTCACAATCCACCGTAATTCGATCTAAACCTAAATTGGAACAGAGATTGCCGGGAACACTTCCAGACAACTGGTTGTCAATCAATCCCAGGGAAGTCAATCCAGTCAGCAATCCAATCTCTGTCACAAGCTTGCCAGACAATTGATTCTTGTCCAATTTCATTTCCTCCAATGCAGTTAGCAGTCCAATTTCAGAGGGAATCTCTCCCTCCATTTCATTGCTCCCCAAGTCAAAGAAAACCAATGAAGTCAACTCCCCAATCTGGGAGGGAATGCTGCCCGATAACTCGTTTGACGACATGCTCAAATCATTCAAAGCTGTAAGCAGAGCCAGCTCGGATGGAAAGAAACCAGAAAACTTGTTGCTGTAAAGTGTCAATTCGGTCAATGCTGTTAGCAACCCAAGCTCGGTAGGGAGACTGCCGGATAATTGATTGCAACACAAGTTGATTGAAGTCACAGCAGTCAATAGACCAACCTCTGAGGGGATGGCCCCGGAAAGACCATCTATCCAGCGATCAATTTCTGTGGTTGTCGCGACCTGGTACACTTTACGAAATGCCTCCACAAGGGATCCCTGTTCATACGTTGGTTGTAGAGTAGGTTGGCTGCTTGGTTCTGAAGTGGGTGATGGTATCACGGGTACCGTTGGTGCAGACGTTTGAGGGATGACAGTAATGCTAGTTGTAGTAGTAGTCTTGTCACTACCACCAGCAGTAGCTGCAAAGATGATGGCAATAATGGCCAGGATCAGTAGAACAATCGTGAGAACTCCTGCCAAAACTTGTTTCATCTTTTCTCGAGTCTGCTGATTGTCGCCATTCCTGTTGTTGTGCTTGTCTTCTGTGTAGTGTTCCACATCGGCAATCAGTACAGGCGGGTCTGGTTGCTGTGCATCTTCGTCATCATCATCATTGTCTTCATTTTTGCTTTTCTTGTCGTCGTCATCGTCATCGTCATCACCATCGTCTACGCCAAGTTCCATAACAATATTATCTACCGGTTCCATTTCCGCTGGTATCGGTTCTGGTTCCGCCGGTAACGGTTCGGGAGAAGGCACCAATAACTGTGGTGAAGCATCATTGATATCCGATCGTAACAAATGGGTGGGAGGCAACACCTGTGCTTCGTTGTTGTTGTTGTTGTTGTGGTACTGGTACGGTAAGTGGCGATCCAATGCCGCCGGTATTGGTTCGGGAGAAGGCATCGATAGCAACTGTGGTGCAGCATTATGATTGCTATCCGACCGCAACAGTTGGGGAGGCATCAGTTGTGCATCATTGTGGTTGTGGTTGTCGTCGTTGCTGCCGTTGCTGCCATTGTGGTATTGGTACGGCAAGTGGTGTTCCTCGCCACCTGCAGGATACAATGGCGGCGGAGGCGAAAAGTCACTGCTCGCAGTGGAACAACTTGTTCGGGCAGTGAGAGTTGTGCTGGGAGCATCTGCTTTCCCTGACTTTGGCACACGGTGCTGATCTACTGGTATGGATTGTGCTAGCTTGTACATGGCAGAAACTACTAGTACTGTACTATCGATAACTGGCCCGTTTGTTGTGTAGCTGGTCCTTTAGAATACTAGTAATAGAAACAACAATAAAATGCGGCGAACAGCTGGTTTAGCTGCTGGTTTCATGGTAAAAACTCCTGCCGACATGCCCTTCTCTCCGTGTGCCACCGGTTTGTGAGGTCATTGCGCATGACGTTGGTTGAGCTAGCTGGAATGGTACCGGCAAACCAAACGTGACTCATGAGTCAATCAGCCAATCATAACGCTGTTTGACTCTGACACCAACATTGGCATCACGGGTTGTTGAGAGTGCATCATTGATGCTTTTGTCTACGCTTGTTTTTTGTTCTCTGGATGCGAAGGCAGGCAAGGCAATACTACTACAATACCGTAGACTCAGTTGAATGGATGAATGGATGAGTCTCAATTATTTCATAAAAGAGACTGAAGAGTTGAAGAAGAAGACGACAAAGAAGACGAACGCTCTGTTTTGCTTTTGTGGTCAGTCCGTGCGACAAAAAACACACAAAATCACAGAGTCGACCAGGCGGACAACAACAACAACAACAACAACAACAACATGCCCCCTGATGATGATCATAATGACAATCCGAAAACCACCAAGCAAGATGGTGACACGAAACCATCTTTGGCTACCCCTCTTGCCGATTTCAAGTTTCCAGAAAACCAAGAAAACAAGAATGACAACGACAAGAACAACAATGAATACCCATACCCTCCCAAAAGTCTACCTCTGATATCTCTCAAGGAAGGATTGCAAAAAAAGGCCACCCCGTGGACACTCGCTTCTTGGGTCAAGTTGGCATTGACACTGGATGGTCGCGACAAAATCACCAAAGTCTGCCAGTACTCGGCACGCATGCTGGCGTGGTGGTTTGCGGGACAGACTAACCAAGTGAAACGATTCAAGGCACTCCAAGCCAGTTTGACCACCAGCCGCAAGGCATATCGGTTGGGACGTTCCTTGATTGAAATTCAAAAGATTCGAGACTCGGGCCTGTTGGAACTCTTCTTCTTTGATCCAACAACAACAGCAGGCAAGAATATTGCCAAGGCGGACCCCGCTTGGAAGATTATTGGCAGTGCTTTGAAGATTATTGGTTTGCTGGGATTTTGGGCGGGCGATAACGTCAACTTTTTGACGGGCAGCGGACTCTTCGATGACTATCGAGTAGAATCACAAAAAGAACGCATCACACGGCGGAATCAACTCAAAACAAAAGCCAGTCTTTTTGCCAATCGATGCTACTTTCTCGGTGCCGTGGCTGGTCTGGTCACGAGCTTGAGGGTCTACTTGACGTTTCGTCAAACGACACTCCAAGCGGCACAGGAACGACTTGTGGCGACCACAAGTCGAGTAGAGGAAACCCGTGGCATTGATGATGATGATGATGAGCACACCAAGAGCAAACAGTTGTGGAATCAAGCCAAACAGGCGTTGGACGCGGCAAAAGAGAAACAGTTCTCCATATTTGTCACGCTGCTCAAGGTGCGTGGCTGCCATGTGATCCAACCAGCACCGTTGCTTTGTACGGTACCAACTAACCTCTTTGGACTTTCTTCTTCCTCCTTGTAGAGTTGTGTGGATGTCATGGTCTTTAGCAACAACCCAGGCATTGACCTCCACAAAAAGTTCCGAGGAAAGAAGAATCATGAAGGATTCCATTGTGTGTGTGGGCTCATCTCGGCCACCACTGTACTCTACAACAACTTTCCCAACGCCAAAAAGTAGAATAACTAGTCACAACATCAGAATGAATCGAATCTCAAGGAAGCAATGTACTTTGTAATTAAACCTGCTTTACTCGTCGTACCTGTCCTTAGTTTCGTCCACCGTAATATCGTAACCTGTGAAGCACAAAACGAATACTAGCTTCTGTTTCCTGGAGACGTTTCAAGCATGAAACTGTTGTACTTTGGTTTGCTCTTCAATGTGGTATGGTGCTTGTATTGTTCTCGAGATCAAGCGAGTTGAAGCCACTTTCGAGTCGGCATTCATATGACCTTGAGAAACCCGCACAACAGTTTCAGCCAACAAAGCACACGCAGTATCCTCATCTAACTTTACTGTAGAGATCTGGTGCAATATATCAGCAGCACTATGAGTAGAGGGGCAGATCCAGAAGGAACCAGGCTTCCAGGGGAGCAAGAACAAGTTCACAGGAGTGAGCAGGCAGGAAACTGAAGACTTTCGTGCCGCAAAACGCAGTCATCGTACAGTTCCGACACGAGAAACAACCACGCGAAGAGGAGTTAAAAAAAATTTCCAACGGGAACGCTGGCTACGTCCAAGGCTCCAACGAGGATAACTGGAGCCATGGATAGCACTGCTGTCGTACTACGAACCTACGGGAGTGACAAGGATTGTAGACCGCGAGCCGGAACAGCAACTAATATATCAAGTTCCAACAGAACAGAGGTACGTATACCTGTTACCGGTACCTGGAACAGTCGTACCGCATACTTCTGCGGGAGTACCTATGTAATCCTCCCTATCAAGCCATCTACTAGTACAGTACTAGTATCAAGCCATCGAAACACGCTAGATAGAGAAGAGGTGCGTGCGCCAGAACCGGAGCAAGTTTCGTGCACGAACAAGCCAAGTTAGCAGGTCGATTCCTCGATATCGACGCGTCCTACAAATGTACGATCACATGACTGCCAAACAAGAAAGAGGGCTACTATGGTGACAGGCTCCGACGAGTGCAAGTTCACGATCGCGAAGCCATCAGGAAAAGCAGAAGGCTGGAAACAGTGACCCTTACCAAGAAGAAGAAGGATCAGCGAGTGAACGACCAAAAGCTACTGCCCCATCAACAGGAGGTTGCTACTACTCTTAAAATAGAAGGGGACAAATGCATTTCCTTGCCTGGAACGAGGTCTGGTAAGAATGACAACAGCGAACGGTAATAAGACGTGAACGTGTTTGCAGTCGGACGCGTCTCGTACTTCGCTTGCTGGTGCTGGACCGGTACCGTACACATAGAGCAGCTACTGGTAACATGCAGGCAATTGTGCACTTACCAGTGGCTTCGATGACCGGTGACCGTATCGAGAAGTTGTTACTGCATGTCCATTTTGCATGTCCTGTCGATCGTCGATCGTTATCGCATACCTTGATCGAGAGCAGAATATTGGTGGCATCCTAGAAATACAGATCAACTCAACGGCTACAACCAGGGACAACCAGGGACAACATTGAAGTCGCAAGTAATGATCGGCGCAATCTCGACACCTTGCATCAACCACATGTATTGGACTCGACTCCACGTTGTGAAACTCCACCCAGAAGACAATTAGGTCGGGAATGATCGCCGATGCCTATTTATGAACCAAAAGCCTGCGGGTGTACAAGTACATGTACGGTACCGGTATGGTATGGTGCGTGTGTGAATAAGCGACGGATTCGAAGGTACCTTTCAGCTGTCGTTAAGGACAATGCCACCCCAACTAACCAACGTTGGATGCCCGAAATGGATACGGGTGAAATCGACAATGATACGCCTCGATCGGTGGCATTGACAGATCTTCGACAGCGAAAGCGTCTGGAAAACAAGTCAAAAAACAACAACAACAACAACAACATCTTTATAACGGATATTCCGTCAATGGGCAAGCACTCCTGCACTGGCAATCCCCCCAGGCCGAAGCGAGGGTTGATCTCCCGGAAAACAAGTCCAAGTTGTGGTTTCGTCGGATCGCTCCAGTTGCACCCACGTTGGCTGGTAGGGAAGGGTACCGGTACCGCATCTTTCTTCCAGAATAACAATGATTCTGATCGAAGATTCAAGTCGAACAGAAGGCCTGATGAACGCATTGATGCACTGACAGTTTGGTGCCCTCAGGGTTCTCAAAAGCCATGGCGACCAAACAATTCTAGCTAGTGCGATTTCTTGCTGGTTGGGTGGAGCACGTTTTTGAAAGCCCATGCAGTACCGGTCCGGTACCGGTACCACTGCATGGTTTCATCATCGTCGACGACATGGATCGCTAGCTTCTAAAGCTAAACTTGTGGACATTGTCACCCCTATGCTTTCTGTGTTACGGTGACGAGGCTAGGCGAGGCGACGACTATAACGAGGATTCTACGAATATGAGGACCCAACACGCTTGATGGATGCTCTTGGGGCATTGAGGTCAGAACGTGCCCGGCGTCTGAAGGGGTGCGCCCTCTCCGACTAGAGCTGATTCTTTGATAGTAGCTACACTTGCTATAGGCGATGTCCGCATTCCAATGGCTTCTGCCAGAACGACGCCACGGGTAAAGAAGCGGCGCAACTGGTAACCTATGTCTGACCAATGAGCTAATAGTGCATTTCCTTCACAGTCAATCCTAAAGTGGTCGAAGGTTGCTACTGAGGAAGGCTGCAGTTGTCAATTTTGCCCAACTCCTACAGACACCCAGCCAGTACTAAAACATGTATTGTGTGTTTATCTCTGTCAGCTGTACTTCAGTGCTAGCGTCCAGCTAACAGGCGTCGCACCCTCTCAGGCGGCCAGTGTGGCCGGTGAGCAGACTTGACTGTGGGAAATACCCGGGCCTCGGCTCGTGGGTCGTCCTCAAGCACATCTCGTCTGAATCCGTTATTAGACGTTCAGTTTCCCCCCCCCCCTAGTGCTAACGTCCAGCTCTGGCATAGAGTGACACCACCGTTCCCACCAACAGAGACAACCCAAGGGCAACATTCCAGAAGCGGGCCTGCTTCTGCTCCTCCCTAAGCTGCGCCAAAAGCACTGCCAGGTCCTGCTTTTCATCGGGCAGGTCAACATGTTCAGGTCTAACGCTCTCAGATGTAGTTGGGGTCTTCGTCTCCAATAGACGAGCAACGATCTCATCCAGCTTGACTTCCATCTTGTGGTCAAGTTCTTCAAGGTGTGTTTCCAGCTCCTCGATAACACTGTGCTCCATCTTCAGCAACTGATGCTTCTGCTCCAAGTGAGTACTGTCGCAGGCCTCGGCAGCCGCCATGATCATCTCCTCCTCAGGTGTCAGCTTAGCGTTCAGGCCATACTTCTTCAAGTCTGCTTCACCAGGAACCAGCTCCATGTTGTCAACAGAGAAGGTGAAATAATCAGCACCATCAAGACTCATCAGCTTCCTGGATCCAGACTCCGTCTCACTAAAAGATAGCTTGAACAAGGCATAGAATGCACTAAGAGCATTGTGATCCTCCTGTTCTTCATCATTCCGCAGTCGCCGACCACCGGTGGGGCTAATCTTCACTTTGGCAACCGTAGTGTTACCATCACAGGAGGACGAGACAACTGTTACCCGGCTGGTGTCGCTCAGAGCCAGCTCAGTTGCAATCTTGTTCTTGACATTGGATTCATCAACTGGAGTAGTACAATTAGCTGTGGCGAGCCTGAAGTCAAAAGTGCTTGTCACTGCTTTGAGGTTCAAATTGGCAAGTGTTTTCTTAAATGTGATTTTGTTGGGAAGCACATTGCCTTCCAGATCCTTGATTTGATCAACTGTGACTGTCATTTCTCTGCCCATCAGTACATCCCAGCCGCCACCAGTTTTTGTTGGGTCAAGTTGGAATCCAAGTTTTCGGCCCTGACAGTCAATCTTCAGGTCTCGTTCGTCTGTAATAGTAAACCAAACAAGAACAGGTGAGGAAGCTTGAAATGTGCTTGAACAAGATGACACGAGCAGAGACAGAAAATGTCTTACTGAACAGTGGGGGATTGAGGCCAGCAACTGTCACGTTCAAGGTAAACCGGTAGGGAAGCTCACATTGGATGGACTCTGTGAAGACCAATACAATCTCTTCCCCAGGAACCACAACATCCCTGACTGGCAGGGCCTTGCCATAAAGTTCTGGCTGAACTCGGTCGACAACCACAGTTATTAGATCCGATTGAAATTTGTTGAACTCGTCAGGTGCTCCAGGCAGTGTCTCACACACACTCTCGATCATCACCTCGTAAGCTCCGTCTCCTGTCAAGGCCAAGGTGTTGCCAATGTCCCAGGGAATCTTGGAATACCCGTAGGAAGTCTCCTTGTAGGAACTGACGTTGGGAATGTTGGCAAAGTCAATCTGATTTTTATCTGCCAGTTGAGCCTTCTTCCAAGAGGTATCGCCAATATCGCCAAGCTGGCGATACCAAGCATACACATTGCTCAGCCGCGAATTCTTTGCAATGCTTTCAAATGTACCAGCAGCCTTTTGAGGATTGAACACAGTCAGGTCAACAGGCTTAACATTCTTGGTGACTGAGGCCTTCCTTTCTCTCTTTAGAGGCCCAGCCCATTCTACTCGTGGACATGGTTCTTCAAACAGAATCCATTTCTTCTTGTTCGCATCTACAAAGTTGAAGATCTCAACAGACCCAGCTTCGATGCCAAGCTCGTCCCACAAGCTCACAAGATACATAGTTGTGGCAGGGAACTTATAGCCCTTTGGACCCCTCCTGATCTCCACCTTTGTCGTAATCTCTGAACGTGCTCCCAGAGTGTAGTCAATGGGTACCTCCAAGCCAACACCTCCCATAAAGTGCCTCAAACCGCCAGGGTTGGTTGTGTGGTCAACATATGCCTGAAAGACGGCCAAGTTCTCACCCGCATTCAAAAGGGTCACATCCACCACAATGGCATCATCCGGCATCACAGGGCCATCTGGTTTCATCATGGACATGCTTAGGTCTTCGCCTTTCTTTGTGTTTGATTCCCATGGAGCCCTAGAACACCCGGAAACAGTGTGGAAGACAAAGGTCCCATAGGTTGGATCAACATAAATGTCCACCACAAACTCATCATCTTCTTGTTCATCACCAAGTACAAAAGAAACAGTGGTCTGTCGGCCACTTTCATCGGTTACCGTTCCCGAGGTGGATGACTCATATGTAAACCCAAGACCCATTGCGAAGCCAAAGCTGGCACCTGCAGAGATTTCCATTTCGCCTTCCAAGGTGGCTGTACTTCCTACAGCCCCATTTTCGTGGTTTTTGTCTAGCCGCATTAATTCACTGGCACCTGCATGATCCACCACAAACTCCATGGTACCACCACCACCACTGAATTGAATCCTGTTCGTCTCCTTCAGGTCAGCCTTGTCAGTTGATGCTAGTTTCGCCTGCTTGATGTAGTCAAAGTTGAAAGCTTCCGTTCGGTCAGTCAAAACTTCTGGGGCGAGGTTGGACCAGTGATCAGTGATGGTTGGCTCCTTTTCCATCTTGTCTTTTGTGGAAGCCCATTTTGTGAACCATTCCCTTCCAGCAATGTCAAGTTTGTTCTTGCTGGCATTTTTATTGATGCTATCATAATCTGTCATGGTTTGGTTCCAGCCTGTCAACGCGTCTTCCAAAACCTTGAGTTGTGTTTTAGTCTTGGTTTTGTTTGGGTGGTTGGCAGCCAGTTTGTCATGCTCTGCCTTCTTGTCACTAATAGCCTTTTTCAGATCAGGCAGTTGGTGCGTCTCAATGTTGTACACACTGAGGAAGGAGAGAGCAGGCTTGTTGCCGGGATCAGTCAGAGAGAACTTAACAGTATCAGTTGTGTTGACTTGGCATGACGTGCCTCCATAGAATGCAACTGTCGTAACAATGTGGTACTGGACGTTGAGGTTGGGAATGACAATTACATCTGATTTTCGTCCTGCCAAAACTGGGTCGTCACTGGTAGCATAGCTCCAAGTTGTTGTGAACTCAGAGGTGTACGAATCTTCATCATCCTGCTGAACAGTGCTTGCCTCTACTCCCAGGCCGGTTTCAAATCCACCTTCAATCTCCAGTACATCTTTGCATGCCATTGCTCCAAACCCAGCACACATGGAGTACTCATGTTCTCCTCCAATGGATCTGTCATAGTGGAATGTGGTATCCTTCACTCTCTCTACTGTGGAGGATTTAACTTTGATGGAAGTCTGCACATTCTCATAAATCGACTGGGAGAGACCACCAGGCGGATCCCGGAGGATCAAGATGGGCTTGTACGTTGGTAGAGCAAAAGACTCCCCCGGACCTTTGACATAGTCACCAACAACAACAACTTCAGCTCTGTGTGTCTTCAAGGTTTTCAGGTTCTTGTCAAGAACTTCAAGAATCAAATCCTTCCTAAAGTCCCCGTAAAGATTTGGCCTGCCAGCAGCAAAAGTAATCAGAGTATCATCATCCTTTCTGGGAAGCATGTGTGCATTGGTCTTCTTCCCATTGATAATATCATGATCCACTGGGAAGTTGCAGCCACCATCATCGCTGCAAAGCTTGAGGCGGTTTAGCAGGGCAGCTTTGCTCTGCAGGGTGGATGCATATTTTTCAAAGTCTGCGTCTATTCCAATCTTGTTGATGACTCTCACAGCAATTTCATCAGCAAGGATATCACATGTGAGGTCTGGGAGCAGGGAGTACTTCAAAGTCACTTTGGGACGGAAACTTGACCCAGTAGTTGTGACATGGAATGATGTTGTGGTCCCTGTACCAGAAATGAGAGTGCCTTGAGGCTTCACTGTTTTCAGGGTACAGTTTCCAGCTAAATCAACACCCATGAACCTGAAGTCCACGACGAGTTCACCGTCATACTGAAAGCGGACCTTGTCATAGGACTCTTCACTCTTGGTACCTGCACTCTTCCCCTTAGGTGTTGCTTTTTTGTCAACTCGTTTAGTCTCATCCTGCATATCCCCAGCCTCTAGCAAATCAATGGTCTTAGTCATATTGTTTGTCGCGAAGAAATCAAGGATTTTTGAGAAATCACTTTTTGCATCATTCGACATGTTGACGACTTTCAGATCAAGAACATGTGCAGGCACCCAGTGCTCTCCTTTGAAGAATTGCTGGCTCAGGTCCTTTTTCCAGTTTTTTCGATCACACCCATTCACCGTTGCCTCCAGTTGACTGACACCAAGGGTCTTATTGCACAGTCCACCAACCACTTCCACAACAAGTTTTGCCTTGGCCACATCTAAAAAGTCATTGCGCACATAGCGCTTGTTGACATTGATAAAAAAAACCTTGTTGTAGTCCAGGGAATTCTCCGGGGCTTTGTTCATAGTGTGGTTGTTGTAAGAGACTTCAATGCCAACCGTGGAACCAATGGCCGCAGGGACATTGTAGTCTCCGTTGTGATCCGTTTTGACACAGGCACCTGTGGTGTCAGCAGTCTGAGGATGCTTTATTTTCAGGCATACCTCAGCACCAATGACAGGGCACCCATCGGGCTCCCAAATTGTGACTCTTCCGCGGACAGGAACAGAGGAGTTATCATAGGACACTACAGGTTCCTCAAAGGTAAGATGCTTCAGATACGCAATGGTGCCATCACTGCAGTCTGTTGAACCCTCATTGCAGAGGAACTGGTGTGTGATTGTTTCATTGCCAACAGTGGTATTCTTGGAGAACTTGATTCGAACTGGAAACTCATTGTCACGATCAAGTTCATTGTGCAACTCATCAAACTCGATGGCATAAGTACCAGGCCTCTTTGTCACAGCGCTCCCAGAGGCAATGACAACAGTTTGCTGTGGGTTCAACAACTCCCATGAGACAGCAACATCGTCAATGGGTAGGCTGCCGGCCAAAGGGGCTGTTGTGACCTTGCCTGACATGGAAGCTTGCCAACGGACAAAGTGAGTTTTGCAGTGCTCATCACTGGAGTGCAGGGAATCTGCCGAGTAGAATTGAGCAACAGCACGGACACAGTACCGGTAGGCAGCACCAACCTCAAGCTGGGAGGTCTTCAGATCATCAGCAGCGGCTTTCCCTGGCAGGACTGGAGCACCACCACACTTTTTCTTGGGGTAGTAATTGTAGTTCGGTGTGAAGACACTCTTTCTTGTTTCATCTGAATTATCAAAGAACTCATCCTTGAGCGCAGACCGGGTAAAGGCGTAGGCATCAGCACAGAGAGAGTTGTCAGTGAAATTGAACATAACAAAACCTTTGACCTGATACGCCTTTAACCCTATTGGCCTTCCGGTGGTGTCTCCAAAATGGATCGAATTACAGTTACAACAGCAAAATGTTGAAGCCACTGTTTCCTGAGGAGTTGAACCTTGGAGCTGATTACCACTGCCGTCCACGGGGAAAAGTCTTGCAGTGTATTCATAGCCAGAAAGGAGACCATCAAATTTGTACTTGAAATTTGTTGCATTTCCAGCATTGATTGATTTGCCATCGTACTTGTACACACTTTGTGGTGGCTGATCAGGAACGCTGCCATCAAGCCTTGTGCAATTAACTTTCCAGGTGCCATGACGTGCAGCATTGGATACATCAATTTCAATAGAGGTTCCTGTGATTGATGGACCTGGGTCGACTGTTTCAACAGGGGCCTGAAACGTTAAAGTTGAGGACAAAGAACCATAGGCATGAGGGGCACAGACTTTTCAAACTGGAACAAACAAGTTCATTGGCGAATACTCACTGCATTGTCGTGATAAAGCTGCAAGTTCTTGAATGTGCTCTCCCCAATATTTTCATTTGCATCATTGTCTTGCACGATGGCAATGTACTTGATTTTGGCGCCCCAAGAGATGTAAGGCTTGTTGTTGCCCGCACCACCAGTAAGTGATCCAATCTTGACCTTGTAGTGCTTGTACTCTCCTGTGTTGCCTGGTTCGTCAAGATTCCAAACCTCCTTCCAAATGGCACTCTGAGAGCCAGCAAGTCGAAAGCATCGCTTGGACCCTGGAATTTCCACATCCTCATTGAGGTCCTCATCAAGACAAATGGCATGTCCCTCAACCTCATCCACAAGCCGAAAATCGAACTCTAAAACCGAACTACAATTCACAGTGTGCTCCGCCATTGGGAATGCTTTCCACACATTGCCAGACAGCTGGATTCTGTTGCCTGCTTCTTGAACAAGGAATCTTCCTGGCCCATCTTGCCCAATGCCTCAGGAGAAGGCTCGTTGCAGAGCCTGCCTTGAGTTTGTCTGAACACTGCTCGCATAGAGATTAAAATTCTGCCGAACAGGAGGCATGTTAGTTCATGTGGGGCAGAACGTCAGATCCACAACAAAACTCCTTACATGTCCACAAAGACTATCTGCTGTATTGCAAATCCCTCCTTTGCAGTCAATGTTCTTTTTACATGGTAGCTGATCATATGGTTTGCATCCACCTGGCTCAAAGAAGCAGACATCGACTTTCCTGCATCCACCTGATGCTGTTGGTTCCTCTGAAATGCCACAATAGTGAGGGCTTGTCCACTTTGAACCCCCAAAGAGTCCCAATTCTCCCAGGTTCTCATTAACATTCACCACACCATTTTCACTGCCACCATTGGTGTTTGCAGAAGTGGCAAGAGCCGCCAGAGATGCCTTGTAGTCCTTGACTGAGTTTTTCCCCGAGCATGGAAACAAAAACACGAAGTCTCCTGAAATCATCTTAGACAGGCGATTTCCCAACTCTCCATTCTTCTGATCTTCGGCCTCCTGCTGAGTGACACTTCCAACCTTGGTGATTCCATGGATGAAAAGGTCATGCTTGATGCTGGATGAACCAAACACAACTGATCCCAAGCAGTAGGACTCCCCAAGGTTTGTGGAAGCTCCTACATGCTTGTAGCCAAGAGAGCCAGCAGGATTCTTGAATAACTCAATGGCATGATTCTGCCACGTGGAGCTGGCATCATTCACCAACCCATATCCAACATGGTCTTCATGTTCATAGTAGCAAGGCTGGAGCTTTGCATAGGGGATTTTAAAGTCCTTTGCAGCATTCACACTAAGAGAGAGACTGTCATTTGCATCACAGAAAGGGAATTTGCCTTCTCCTAGAATGCAGCCTTTCTTGAGGGCCATGAATTCCTCGGTGGCAGGGGCAGAATGTGACGCCTTGCTGACAAAGGTACCTGGTGTGAGACTTGTAGACGTTGATCCTGTGCTCTGGACACTCAGATCTACCTCAGATCTAGTTTTGGAGGCAGCATCATTGTTGTCAAACAAAAAACTAGACGGCGCACTTTCAACAAACCTGTCTTGAATGCAGCGCACTAGGTTCGTGGCTGGCTTTGTGGCACCTTGTTGCCACACATGACCAAGGCAAGTGAACCTTTCTGGGGCAACTGGCTTCCAAAATGACCCACTTGAAGTGGGGGTAGCAGCATCTCCACCTGTACCATTCCAGACCAAAACAAAGTTTGTTGGTTCCTTGAGAACAGTTCCATCAGCTCCCTTGACCAACAGAGATGAGTGGAAACCCACTTTTTTGTTCGATGCATAGTCACCCAGCCTGAAATACCCAGTTTGTAGCTTTGGTCGCTTCACAACTAGAACCTTCGTTACACCCGATGTCACCCGTGATTCATCCAAAAGCAGCTGGTCCATTTCACTAGTGGACTTGACTTCAATCACTGAGCTTGTAGAGAGAGCATAGTTCTGCATGGTATACTTGAAAGAGAAGGAACTCTCCCAGTAGGGGCATAGGTTTCTCCTCACCTGATCGGGGTGGTTGTATCGGATAATCGACCGGGAGTCTTTACCATACACATGCTGGTCGGCTGTTCCGTAGATGCGGTTGAGTTGTTGCCTTCTGTTGTAGGCAGTACGTGCGTTTGTGGTAACAATAGGGAATGAATTTGGATAGGAGAACCTCTGACTGAAGCTGTCACTGCACGCTTCCATGTAGAGGTTATCGTTCGTCTTGTTCAAGTCAAGGCACTTGATCTCGTCAATCCTGCTGTGGAGCCTACCTTGGGCGTCCATGTACCACTTTTGGTTGTTATCTGTTCCACAAGGTCCAAAGAAAATGTTTCGACCCCCGGTGCTTTGATCTGTCAAGCACCCAGCCCTTGACACAAAGAGAGATGATAAGAGGAAATTGGCAGTACTGATTAGCAGCTGACAGCATACAAAACCCCTCAGATGGTTCAAACAAGCTTACCCATGACCAGCCATGATTTGTTCAGTTCCTGGGATGTAGAAGAAGTCTTGATTTCTTCCCTTGTGGCAGGGATACAGGTAGAGGTTGTTACCAGTACCTCCAATGTCCCAGCACTTTGTCTGGTCTGCGTATGGCGTCACTGGACTCAAAATGGTTTTGAAAGAAATTGGATAAATGAAGCGTTGCGAGTCACTAATAGTGCAGTCTTTCACAAACAAGTTGTTGTCAGTTTTAACGTCGATGCATTTTCCATCATGTCGACTGTGAATCCTTCCCTTATCGTCAACAAAGAACTTCTGATTATTACCACTGTGGCATGAACCCAAGTAAGCAATACGGGCTCCTGGAGCAGCAAAAAATAACAGATTTGTCAAACAATGAGAATGATGGCAGGTATTGATTAAGATTATGATGTTGTCAAGAAAGGTTGAGGAAGACTTACCAGAACCTGGGTCATCTACACATTTTCCTGCAAGCCATCATTGGTGAGGAAAGACGAACAGAAGGTTAATCAACAAGAATCCAGCACATAAATGGAAGACATGAATAGCAGCATTGACAGCACCTGAGGGAAGATGAATGATACGGCCAGATTCAGGGGAAAAGAAGAAGTTTTGGCTGGAGGAACAAGCAACCATCACCATTGTTGCATTATTACTTGCAAGGCCCCAACATGAAGCGGCATTGTTGAATGGTTTGACAACACTTGTGCTGACAGGAAAACTCTCTGGAAGAACAAGCCTCTGACTGTCCTTATCATCACAGCCCCTGTGTGCCAAGTTATTGTTTGAGTCAAGGGAAAGGCAGTGATTGTAATGTTTGTCACGAATCCTGCCATGCCCATCCATGTACCACTTCTGGTTGTCTTGACCATGACATCCAAATACGTATATGTTGTTGTTATTGGATGCATCAAGACACCTAAGGGGGAGGGGGGCAGTAAGGGTAGCAGCATGTTGAGTAAATGATTCGACATGAGCATACAGGAGAAAGGCAGTGGTTCCTTTCATACCCTTGACCCGAGGCCACAAAAATCCGCTCAGTCTCTGGAACATAATAGAAATCTTCATCCCTGTCTCCCTTACATGAGCGAGCCATAACTTTCTTGTTGGACATCACAGCGAGGCCTGTATGGGAGCAGCAAAGTCAAAAATTGTATGGTTAAATATTGGTATTTTCATCTCTGCCAACTCAACTTCAAGGAAGGAGCCTTACATTGACCGTTGTTGCTCTTAATTGGGCTTTGGGCTGATGGAAAGGATGCTGGATAAATGAAGCGTTGTAAGTCATTATCATTGCAGTCTTTCACAAACAAGCTGTTGTCAGTGTTAACGTCGATGCATTTTCCATCATGTCGACTGTGAATCCTTCCCTTATCATCAACAAAGAACTTCTGATTATTACCACTGTGGCATGAACCCAAGTAAGCAATACGGGCTCCTGAAGCAGCAAAAAATAACAGATTTGTCAAACAATGAGAATGATGGCAGGTATTGATTAAAATTATGATGTTGTCAAGAAAGGTTGAGGAAGACTTACCAGAACCTGGGTCATCTACACATTTTCCTGCAAGCCATCATTGGTGAGGAAAGACGAACAGAAGGTTAATTAATCAACAAGAATCCAGCACATAAATGGGAGACATGAATAGCAGCATTGACAGCACCTGAGGGAAGATGAATGATACGGCCAGATTCAGGGGAAAAGAAGAAGTTTTGGCTGGAGGAACAAGCAACCATCATCATTGTTGCGTTATCACTTGCAAGACCCCAACATAGAGCGGCATTGTTGAATGGTTTGACAATGCTTGTGCTGATAGGCAAATTTTCTGGAGGGACAAGCCTTTGGCCGTCCTTATCATCACAGCCCCTGTGTGCCAAGTTATTGTTTGAGTCAAGGGAAAGGCAGTGATTGTAATGTTTGTCACGAATCCTGCCATGCCCATCCATGTACCACTTCTGGTTGTCTTGACCATGACATCCAAAAACGTATATGTTGTTGTTATTGGATGCATCAAGACACCTAAGAGGGGACCAGTATGGGAGGCAGTCTGTTGAGAGGATATGTTGACATCAGCAGGCATGATCAAGTCAATGGTTCCTTTCATACCCTTGACCCGAGGCCACAAAAATCCGCTCAGAGTCTGGAACATAAAAGAAATCTTCATCCCTGCCTCCCTTACATGAGCGAGCCATAACTTTCTTGTCAGACATCACAGCGAGGCCTGTATGGGAGCATCACAATCATAAAATGTAAGGTTAAATATATGGGTATTTTCGACCACAAGAAAGGAGCCTTACATTGGCCAGTGTTGCTCTTAAATGGACTTTTGGCCATTGGAAAGGATGCTGGGACAATGAAGCGTTGGTCCACCGAGTCACTGCACTCTTTCATGACTAGGTTTCCGCTGTCAATAGCTAAGCACTTGTTATCCCATCTACCACGAAGTCTACCCAGTCTGTCAGCATACCACTTCTGGTTCTTTAAACTGCAACATGTACGCAAGAATTATTGGAATATTGTTTAGCCTGCACGGACGCTTATCCAAGCAGATAGGCAGAGCAACAACCAGCTGTGAACTTACTCTTGGCATTTGTTTAGATAGACATTTCTGGCACCACTGCCTTGGTCATCAAGACATCCAATTCCTGGGAGATGTGCACAAGAATGTCATGGACTCAGAAAACACGGCAGCAGAGATACATGGGATACATGATGGCTCATTGCACTTTCACGTACCGGCTGCATCGTATATGCGCTCAGATTGAGCCATGAAGTAAAACTGCTGGTAGAAATTATCACTGCCACAGCTTGATGACAGGTACAGATTCCTGTCTGTTCCCCCACTATCCAAGCCTGTTGTTGAGAATCAAAACATTTTAAGTCATGAGGAAGACATCGATCTTTTCTGCGAGCTCTAGGCTGTAGCAACTTACATTTACCCGAATCAAAGAAAGGCTTCACCTGTGCAGCATTTTGGTTGCAATGATTTGATGTACAAGGTTAATCAGTGATGAGACTGTGTCGCAGCTCGAAATACCAAGCCCAGCCTACCTGACTAGTAGCAATGGGAAATGTACCATGCGGAAAAATAAATCTCTGATTGTCATTGTCATTGCATCCAACCATTCTCAAATTGTTGTCCCCACTATTCTGTTCCATGCAACGGCTGGTGTCGCGGCGATTGCGGATCCTGCCATAGGAATCCATCCACCTGCAAGGAAGATGGGTGAGATGGGTTGCGTTGTGTTATTGATTATACATATTGCCCAGGAGTTATAAAGATTTTCTTGTTTGCCCAGGAACCTCCAACGAGCTTACCATTTTTGGTTGGTACCATGGTGGCATCCAGTAGCATAAACATTTCCATCGCCAGGGTTTTCATCCAAGCATCCCGACCTTATCAGGGGACGGAAAAAATCAACCTGTCAGCTACAATTCAGAGGAACCAATTTTGTCATCTTCTGTGGAAGGCTTTTTCCACATCATACTTACCCTTCCGCCAAGGGCAGAAAGATTCTTTCGGAATAAGGGGAATAGTAGTACTGCTGGTTGTTTCCATTGTGGCAACTCCCGTAGACATACAAATTCTTTCCGGTGCCGCCTAACAAACAAGACATGTCAAGAGCACGTCCATCCACACTGTGAGGGAAATGAGGTCCTGCAAGTGTCATGCTCCTCTGAAAACTCCTACGTACCAACATCCCAGCCTGGGTGACAAAAGCAGGAAGCATAGACAAAGTTAGATCCAGTATAGCAATTGCACTCAATTGTGCACAATAACTAACAATCGTGCAAAACTTACACGCAGCTGAGTTAAGGACCGGATGGATCTCGCTATTGGTAGTTGGGAAATGCTGAGGAACATACCAGCGTTGTCCCTCACAGTTATTGCAACAACCTCTCACGTAGAGGTTCCCACCGGGTGTAACATCGAGACATTTATAATCATGGAGGCCTTGGATCCGGCCCTTGTTATCGGTCCTCCACTTTTGATTCTTTTTTCCATGACAGGGGTGGGCGTATACATTGCGGCCTGAGAACCATCGCGTTGCCGTGGGTTTGGGCAAGTCAGAGCGTGAGCAGCAATTTTGTGGATTTCATGGCTGTGCCTTTGGTTTGCCCTGTTCCTATCAGACATAAGACACAACTGGGTAGCTCACATACCTGTATCCTCAATATTGTCATCCATACAACGCCCGTCAACCTTGATTTCCTGGGTGCTGGCATGATAGGTGAACTTTTGATTGCTGTGTTGGTGGCACACTTGGAGATACAAGTTTTGAGTGTCATGATGCCTGTCAACACTGCAATCCACCACCAGTCGAGAAGAGGAGAAGAGATGAGTGGTTTGTGTAAGAATGGGCAGCTGACTGTTGATGTATATGCTTTGGTGTGCGCAGGGTTATGCCTTACCACCCTACGAGAATAGAAGGGACGGAAGGACAGGCAGCATGAGAAGAGTCCTTGACACAGATCAATAGTACACTCCCAGATGGGCATCAACAAAGAGGGGAGCGCATCCAATTAACGAAGGAACCTACAGTTGCCGGTTTTGAAGACTGGTCGGATTTGCCCTGCACTGCTCAGGAGTCGGTGCCTCTGTAAAAGAGATAGGAGAGGGCTTTGAGGTTGCAGCTGGCAAAAGGATGGTCGAAATCAGCAAAGTCATCTGATGATGGACATACCAAGTTCACCTCGCGGTCCACGTGGATGGATGCCTTCTGGGTTTGGACCAACTCGGCAATGGTTGGGAGTTCCTCCTCTTTGTCTCCTTGTTCATCTTGTCCCAGGACTGGATCTCCTCCCTTCAAGTTCAAGGAAGGCAGATCAGTCAGGTTGACCTATAGATACGTCAAGAAGATAGGGAGTTAGACTCAACTGTAATCAACAACTATTCCATCATTGTGTGAGAAAGAAGGGGGTGACTATATCAACTTGTGTAGTGCCATGGAGTGAAGAGAAAAGGTAACATGGAGTTGATTCGGTTCTATGGTGACTCCATCAAGCATGTACTTTACACAACGGGAGTGAACCGATCTGTTCGACCGAGACGAAAAGCCGGAGTGAAACAAAGGATCGATAGGCAAACAATGGTTCAACGGTTCAAATGCAGGTGCATGCTGAAAATCGGATGATCGACAGACGGACAGACGGACAAACGGACGACGGACAGACTAATGTCCCTCACCGTGCCGCGAAGGAGCTGCTTGGCGGAAAGCTGTGACATGGTTGGAACAGATTTGATCCAGATCCAATGTTGTATCTTCTCATGGCGGTCAAACGACTACAACTGTAGCTTACCTTGGTGGATGGATGGTTGACGCTGGCAGTGGAAGCCGTTGCGACACCCACAAGTCCAATAAGGATGGGTACAAGAGTGTTGACGATCTTCATCGTCAGCGTCGGTGGTAGTCGCAGTGTATCAGCTAGAGCTCGCCGGAGGTAACTGATGAATGGATTCGAATGGAATCCTTGATAGTCAGGTTGAAACTCTTGATGCGATTTGGGTCGAGCCAAATTCGTTTTGTGTCAACTTAATTAACTCGTCACAGCTAGATAGGTCGAAAAGCGCCGTTGTTGACTGTTGGATCCGCAAAAGATGCATGAAGCCATCTTCAGGACCAATAATCGCGTGAGTGTGAGCGTACAAACTACTGGCGGCCAGTACTTGTGGATGGTTACTAATAAGTTTCGAGATTTTCTCTTGGGAGTTTTCTAAAATGCCACCTCAAGGTCCCGCGCACCAATGATAACCATCAGGATCCATTACCCGTACCGTGCATGCAGGTTCTTGGGTACCATGGTATTACCAAGATCTTTCGTTTCCTACCGTAATAGCTAGCTAGCTATTACCGTATCCCGTGCTGAGTATTAATAGGGAGATTGCATCATGACCCGAAGTGACCAAAAAGACTGGAGGTTAAGAGATGTTCGTTTATGGCCTTTTAGCAAAGAATTTTAAATGGCAATAATTGCCACTTATGAGTGTCATACTCTATTTAAAACAGTACAGTAATAGTAAAAAGAAAGCCAGTTTGGACCAGTTAGATGTCAGCGAATTAGCTTCAAAATGACAGCTTTTGGCAAGGCTCCACGATTCTCCCTTAGACTAGTTAGGCCTATCCACTCCTTTGTCTCTGCTCCTCCTACTAGCTAGTACCGTACATTCCTACCATACATGTACCATTCCACCACCTGACTTGGCACGTACGGTGTACGTAGCAGCCAGCCAGCGCAGCCAGCATAGCCAGCTAGCCTAGCTAGCTTTTGAGCCGCTCAACTAACAGCCTCACTGTCTTACAGAGCAACCACTCAACTCGTTACAATGCCCTTTTCCTAATTGAATTAAGGGGGGTTTAGAGTAGGGAAAATTATCTACGGAAGCCAGCCGGGGCCAGGCTTAAGCAAAGAACAGTCGAAATTCAGGACTAGGTTCTGTGGGATCAGGGGCAAGAAATGAATGAATCAAGCGCATCTGCTGTTTGCCTCCTTGGTTGTGTCCATCCCAACTCGTGTGGTCATGGATGTTGCCTCTCCACCATTTAGAGGTCGCCATTTTTGGCAAAGTTTGGGCCCTAATCTCGTCCTCTGGAATACACCCCATCTAACATGTGTCTTCGACCCATTGACCTATTGGGCATATCTTATCCCCGACACCATAACAATCAGCTAACCTGGACCTCGGCTCGTGGGTTGTCCTTTAAAAAAGCACGTCTTGTCCGAATCCGATAATAGAAGTTCTTCATCTAAGAAGCGCAATTGTAGGTAATTCTGAAAACGAGACCTCAGGTCTCGTTTGGGAAGCACATCCCAACCTCTCCTTCCGAACCAAGTCCAAGGTTCCAATTAGGCAACCGGTGCTCCAGGGAAAGAAGGGGGATCCTTTCATAATTTCACCATGAGATCTTTTCGGTGATCCTCTTTTTTGGTGACTCATACTGCTCTATTTGGATTAGCGTTAACAATCTAGCATTTTGATATTCCCACTTTTATCCTAGTCTTATCTGTTTTACTGGTTTTAGTTGAACTTGGCCACCTGCAGGTCCATTTTGGTAGGTAACGCTCTGCGATTAATAGCCCCTCTGTGCAGGATCTATTGTTGTTGGGAATGCATTCTTCATGTTCTGACCATCAAAAACGGATGGCGATGTGATTCTTTTTAGTAGACAATGACTTACGGTTGGATACACCAATGGGCACAAAGGGTAAAATACCACGTACTGAAGTTTTTCCCCTGCCAGTAGTAGATTGTAAAGTACGTCATTTCCCAA